GATATGGATGAGGTACCTACCCAACAGAAGCAGCATTACTGCTGTCCTGCATAGTTTGTGTCATTTATGGTGCCCTACATTTTCACTGTAAGAAGTTCCTCAGTTTCTTGAGGAAATGAGATTTCCTTCTGATGGTATTTCAAAACAACCTGTTTCTGCTGGAATGCCGGACTATGGTGTTTTTAATGTTTTCCAAGACAATACAATTTCCAAGAGAGAAATACAATGATTTTGACACCTGATGGGGGGTAGATTTTCTGTTTCTGTGGTGAAGCCTTTTGGGCTTTCTTCTGCAGAGTCTGGAACACTGAGCGATGACTCATTTTAGACTCTTCCTCTACCCACTGTGTGTGAGCTGGTTTTCTGGTAATGAGGAAAAATGGTTAGCTGTAAGCCCCTGCTTGCTGTGCTGTGGTAACGTGGAAGCTGAGCGCTACTTGCTTCCTCTTCTGCGTCTTCTGAATTTCTGGATCATGATTATCCAGAGGAACCGCTGTAGCGTAGGTGTCCAGAGGCAAAGTAGCTCTGTATCTTTGAAGCTGCATGATCCATTCTTCCAGCGCTGCGTAGGATTTTTATGCCTTTCTCGAATCTTGTTTGTTGATATTTGACTAAAGGAACTTTATTCCCCCCCCCCCGGCTCAGATGATGAAGATGAAAGTCAGAAGGTTCCTCTTCCTCCAGAAACCCCGATGCCACCACCTCTTCCTCCCACGCCAGATCAGGTCATTGTGCGGAAAGATTACGATCCCAAAGGTAAGTCCGGCTGGTGAAGAATTTGTTTCTTCCTGAATAACCACGAAAGCATTTGCTTGAAGGCTGCATTCTCTGGTGTGTTTTTGACACTGTGTTGTTTTTTTTTCTAGCCTCAAAACCATTACCACCTGCCCCAGCTCCAGATGAGTATCTTGTTTCCCCCATCACTGGAGAGAAGATTCCTGCCAGTAAAATGCAGGAACACATGCGAATTGGTCTCCTGGATCCTCGCTGGTTGGAGCAGCGTGATCGATCTATCCGTGAAAAGCAGAGTGACGATGAGGTCTATGCCCCAGGTCAGCCTGAGCACCTGACACAGCTCGTAAAATGAGTTCCTCGATGAGTTCTGTGAACTCTGAGCACCCCCCTCACTCTTCCCATGTCCCACTGATAAGAACCATCTTAAATGTAGCTTTCTGTGCCATGTCCTCAGAGTGCTGATTATGTGGATACATTTGTCATTAGTACATTGAAGCCTTTCTGTAAACTTAAAGGCAAAGAGTGTGAGCTGCTGCTGACCAGCCATCAGGCGTGGTCTCTTTCTAAAAAGAGCAGCACTCGGCCATTAGGTACCAAACAGTTTAAAGATCATTGACAGAGGCTTGATTGCGTTTGACTTTGGTTATATCACTTGAGATAAGAATTTCTCTTTTTGCCTGCAGGTTTGGATATTGAAAGCAGCTTGAAGCAGCTGGCAGAGCGCCGTACTGATATCTTTGGTGTAGAAGAGACTGCCATTGGTAAAAAGATTGGGGAAGAAGAAATCCAGAAACCAGAGGAAAAGGTAGAGTGGAAACTATGTTTTTGTAACAGGTTCCTATAGCATTATGAATGGATGGAGAGACAGGAGTCTTCTTGTACTTTGTTCTTGCTGTAAAGCTGCTCTCTTGATTTATTTGCAGCTCACATTGCTGTCTGGACAGGATGGAGTTATTGTGATTTATTTTATCCTCTCAGGTGACCTGGGATGGGCACTCAGGCAGCATGGCCCGCACACAACAGGCTGCTCAGGCCAATATTACTCTCCAAGAGCAAATTGAAGCTATCCATAAGGCCAAGGGCCTGGTGCCAGAAGATGACAGCAAGGAGAAGATTGGTCCCAGCAAACCCAATGAAATCCCCCAGCCACCCCCTCCTTCATCGGCATCCAACCCCCCAGCCAGCGCTCAGCCCATCACGTCCGTGCCTCGTCCGCCCACAGTGAGTGTTTGGGCTTCCAAAAGCCAATGGCTGTGCCTGTGGTTAATTAGAAGGGCGTCCTGATGAAGGTCAAGGGTTATGACAGCCTAGAAGCAGATTTGGAATGAGGTTTGTTTCCAAATTACTCTTAAGCTATCAGAGGAACCCTACTGAACTTTGTTAAAAATGGAAAATAAGACTTAGGTGGAGCTTTTCCTCCTCAGAAGTACCAGAAAGGCTTGATCAGCCAGAACCCCCGGCAGTGAGACCTTGGAGGAAGAGAGTGTGGGGAACAAAGGGATGGGTGGGGGCCTTTCTTTAGGTGGAAAAAGGCAGAACAAAAAGCAGCTGATGCAGAGCAAAAGCAGCTGCAGCTAAGAAAGGCTCACAGGTGACTCACTTGCCCAGTGTTCCTGCTCCAAGGGTTCTGCGATAATGTGACTCTGAAATAGCTCCTCCTCTAAAATTGCCAAGTGGCTCTGATCAGATACCTGCATGGGGGGGGAGGGAGGGAAGGAAGGAAGAACAGTTTAATCCGTTAGTGAGGCTTCTGTACCCGTTCTCAGGCAGCTTGGGCTGGCCCTAGGTGGGCTCACTGAGGTTCCCAGCAAGTCTTTGGCCAGGAAGAATCCTCTGGGTCTCGCCCTGATTATTTTAATCAGGATTGTGAACAGCCCTGAGCGTTTCTTCCTGTACCTGCTAAGAAAAATGACCCTCTCTCTCTCTCTCCAGATGCCCCCTCCCGTTCGTGCCGCTGTTGTTTCTGCAGTTCCAGTCATGCCTCGTCCCCCGATGACTCCTGTGGTCCGTTTGCCTCCAGGATCCGTCATAGCCACCCCCATGCCACCAATAATCCACACCCCGCGCATCAACGTTGTCCCCATGCCGCCCTCTGCTCCTCCCATCATGAGCCCCCGCCCGCCTCCCATGATAGTACCAACAGGTCAGTACCTTCAGCTTCTGGGAAGTTGTCAGCTAATTCTTTTGGATTTAATTTAATTGAATTTGATTCTTTTTTCCTTTTGTACCTCTGATAATGGCATGTATTTGGGATTGCAGACCCCGAGTCCCATCGTTAAGAGTTTTGGGGTGTTTGATAGGACTGACCTAGCAGTGCTGCTTTTGGGCTCAAGACCCCTGCAGCGTGAAATACAGAGAATTCTGTCTCACCCATTTTATGTCTGTGTCCCTGGGAGCCTGGAATCTTTCCCAAAGGAACCAGAGTGAAGAAGAGCTGCCAGCGCTTCCCGGGGCGTTACAAGTTGCTGCTGCAGGAGGAAAAGCTGTTGTCTGACCCCTTTCCTCATAGCACCTTCATAGCATTAGGTGCTTCTAAGTTGAAAAGCACAATGTAAAAAACCATTCTTCCTTTTTTTTTCTTGCTTTTTTTTCTTCAATCGAGGTGCTGGCACTGCTGCATGCCAAACTGGGAGTGTTTTCTTTTTTGCAAGATCTGCAGGAAGCTCTTACGCTGCTTGTTGTCTTTTCCTGGACAGTTTCCCAATATAAAAGATCTCCTGATGTTTGAAGCTGGCATGTTACTGGTGGTTGTGTTAACTTCCTCCATGGATTGTAACATTTATTTTCAGCCTTTACTGGTCTGCTAAGAGAGTTTTAGTGGAAGGGAGTGCCTGCTGTATGCTCAGTGGCTGACTGCAGGTTGTGTTGTGTCCCCCCCATCCCATTTCAGCATTTGTTCCTGCCCCTCCTGTGGCCCCGGTTCCTTCCCCGGCACCCATGCCTCCTGTTCACCCGCCACCACCGATGGAGGATGAGCCGGTCTCAAAGAAACTGAAGAGCGAAGACAGCCTGATTCCAGAGGAGGAGTTTCTGCGCAGGAACAAGGTACGCCTGCGGGCCGGCTGTGCATTGGGAGGCGCCGGAGTCCTGACCCCGCTGGGCTGCTCGGCCCCCTCTGCCCGAGGGGGTGTACATCCCGTTCACTGCACAGAGGGGAGCTGACGTGCAGACGTACTTTGCAAGGGAGTGACTTTCTGAGAGGCTGCCAGTCCTGAGCAGGCTGGGTGCTCTGTATTCTACTGGAAAGAACAGCGCAGTGCTACACGCGGACGTTTGATGGTGCTGTTCAGTAATTGAGGGCAGCAAGAAGGAGGTTTATAGTGGTGTAAAGAACAACTAAAGCTGCTAATGAGCTTTAAGCAGAGGGCTGCTAAGCTGGAGGTGCAAGGAGAGATTTAATGTGTCAACACATTACTGTACTGAATTCCTTCCTGAGGAGTGCCACCAGTTTTCCGTCCTTTAAGGAGGCTGTACCATTTTCCTGGGCACCTGTACAGAGAAGCTGGCTCCTGTTTAATGCTTCATACGTTCCTTCTGTCGTACTGGGAATGTGCATGATGCTTGGTGAATGGTACGCAAACAGAGGGATTGATGAGAGAAATCCAACTAAATGTTTTGTTTTGGGAGCAGTGGAGTGGCTTTCTCAGTGGTGAGGCAAATACATTTCTGTGTGTTTACTGAGAAGTCGAGATATGTGGCTAGTTTGGGAAATAAATAACGTATCTGCCGCTGTGTGTCTATAAATAATTTGCTGCTCTTTTATCGCAGTCCTGAGCCTCCTTGCCCGTGTGAGACATTATCTTTGTTTCCTCTAGGGTCCGGTCACGGTTAAAGTCCAGGTTCCCAACATGCAGGACAAGACAGAATGGAAACTGAATGGCCAAGTGCTGGTGTTCACCCTGCCGCTCTCAGACCAGGCATGTATTTTATTAACCTGCCCTCTGCCCGTCTTGTTTTACTGCCGAATTTCTTTGCTTTGAGAACAGCCGTTGACCTGCGTGGCAGGAGCTATAAAACTCTGGGTGTTCCCCACGCTGCGGCCTCTTGCCCAGCGGGGTTGCATGGCTGGGGGAGCAGCGCTGCCCACCCGTACAGCAGGGAAAAAACCCCTGAGCGAGTTCTTTGATTCTTCGTAGGTGTCTGTTATAAAGGTGAAGATCCACGAGGCCACGGGGATGCCGGCTGGGAAACAGAAGCTGCAGTACGAGGTGGGTCCAACCCTTCAAATGCTGTTTATTAATTCAGTGCTTTCTCACACACAACCTGACTTTTTACAAGGAAAAGTTGTCATGTACCTACTGAGATCCTGGGAGGAGCAGAGGGAAGGTTTTTCCTGTCTGTACGGCACACTTGGCTAGAGAACTGCGTGCTGGTAGAGCAGGACAGGCCTTTCACAGGTGCATCAGGGGACCTTCATGTTGTCACTGCTGCAGATGAGTCCTCTAAGCATGGTGGCTTTCTCTGAACTTAGCCCATTATTTTACTGGGGGATTTGACATTTAAATGAGCAGTCTGCTCACACTGGTATGTTGTCTGTGCTCTGGAAAGTGAGCAAGAGCGCCTTGAAACCCTGGCAGCTCTGAGAAGACTTTCTCCAAAACACGGAAGGGAAGAGATCTCTCTCTCTTCCTCTTGAGACTGGATCTGTTAGGCACCGTTGCTTTTTAATAACTTGTTTCCAGCCGTGCGCAGGCACAACCTGCTGCCTCAGCAGTGAACTTTGTGCGCTTACCTCCTCGGGAGTTCATCTATGGACAGATAATCTCTTAACCCCTAGCCAGAAAGGAAGCTTAACTGGGGTTTTTAGGGGGGGGGGGGGGAGGGGGGGGGGGGGGGGGGGGAAAGGGAGGAGGGGACTGGAGCCTAAATAAGTTCCCTTGTTGTGTGACTGTCTTAATCTGTGTGTTTCTAGAAGTATATAGTGTATGTTGTCTGTTTGTGTTGGGAATGATGAAGAGTACAGCCACGTCCTCTGGTGCCCATCTTCTGAGACACGGGGTTCTCTCGGGGGTTTTTCAAAGCCTGCAGCAGTATGTCATCACCCTGTTCCGAGAGCAGGGCCGGGAGGGCTTCATCTGTGTGGGTTTGTGTGGGCAGGGAGCATTAAGATTTCTCCTGTGACTGGTTTTTGTTTTTTTTCTTTTCTCCCCTCAGGGCATCTTCATCAAGGATTCGAACTCCCTGGCTTATTACAACATGACGAGCGGCTCCCTGATTCACCTGGCGCTCAAAGAAAGGGGAGGCAGAAAGAAATAGGCGTCGTGGAGCCCAGATACGCAACGTGGCTGCGTTGCTGCTTGTGTAACCCCAACCTTTCGAATCCTCCTCGACCTCCTGCCAGCTCTAGTTTGAAAAGAGAGACTGTGCACCCCGTGCTGGGGTGGCTGATGCGAGCGGGGGAGCTGACAGAGCCCCAAAGTTGTGTAGCTGTAGTGACCGAGTCCGTAACCGCAGCAGGCTGTTAGCAATCAGTGCTTTGCTCGAGTGCTGGCTCTGCGCTGAGTTCCCTCGCGCAGCGGCATCGAGGTCATGCCCAGTTTAGCCGGGATGCCTCTCTGAGGAATTTACACTGCCTGAGAACATCTCTGTCTGACTGCAGTGCTTGCTGCTTCCTTTAACCTTTTTCTAATTGAAAACTTCCTTCTCAGCGTAGTTACTGAGCCCCTTGTTCTTTCTCTGTCTCCAGCCTATCTGCAAGAGCCTCTCAGACTGACCCTGACTTGGAAATTTATCCTCCCCCAGCATGAGTGTTACGCGGCTGTTCCCTGAGATAAAGGAGATCTAAACAGCTCCGTGCTTCTGTCCAGCCTGTGATTTGTTTTAATAAACACGCGTCTCAGTGCAGGATTCTGTCTGTCGCAGCTCTTGCTCCTGGGGTTTCAGGGTTTTAGCTGGAGATGTGCCTGGCTTCAGGGCACTCGGGATGTGGGGAAACACATTGGGGTTTGTAATTGAGCAGTTCATGTAGGAAATGCTTTGGTTTTCTAGGAAAGGCTGCAAGGTTAAAGTTCTAGTGGTACACAGTTATTCCTGACGATAAAGCACGTGTATACGAGTGCTTATGTCTGTGTAGGGGGTAGAAAGACTCCTTTGAACTCAGAATTTTATTGGAAAAGGTGTTTTACACTTCATAGATCATGCAGCTGGCATCTCCTGGCCTTGGAGAGCATACAAGTCAGGAGAAGAGTCAGAGCTGTGCTGCAGTTTGATATGAACGTAACACGGAGCAAAGTTCATCCACAGCGAGATAATGAGGTGCCTGCCATGGAGAGGCGGTGGTCTGCCGCTGCCCCAGCAGCTGTGTAATTTGGGAACCTCTGCTCTTTTGGGGTACTCCAAAGCCACGGATTTCTGTTTTTTTTCCTAGTATTGCAGGAACATCCTGTTTACCTAATTCTGCACGTAGGGGAGAGAGGGATTTGGCAGGAGGGAAGAGTGAGTATCCTCCCAGTACCGTCCTGCTCCTGTTGTGCTCCCCTCGAGCGCAGGCGGGTGGGAGGAAGCCCTGGTGCTGAAGGAAAGGTGCCTGGCGCTGGCACAGCCCAGGTGGCCGGCAGTTCCCTGAGAATGGTGGCCAGCTGCTGGCTTTGACAGATGCCCATGTGTCTGCAAAGTGCTGCTCCTGTCCCTGCTGCAGGATGCCAAATTTGGGGTGTGTGGGCAGGGGTTTGGGGGGTTCAGTGGGTTCCTGCCCTCCAGGAAGGTGGGCTGATCACTTCCCTTTTGATTTTAAAAACTAGCTAATAGGTACAATCTTGCAGAAAACAAAATTGGGTAGCAAGTGGTGTTTTTCTAAAAAAAACAAAGAAAGCTCTGAAATGGAGAAGTCACATTTTTACGTCCGGGGTGGGGGCCAAATGTGACGGTACTCGGCGTAAGGTCACCCAGCTTTTCTCCCCGGCTGTGCTGGGGGGGGTGAGCCCCCG